TCTTTTGAAAACTTTCATACCAATTCCTTATTTTGAGTTCAAACACACCCGAGAGTGTGCCCGAATCCCTCAAACCAAGGCTCTGATACCAACTTGAACACATCCCAAAAATACGGTCCAAAAATTTCGTTTTTAAATCATTATTAAAACCATAATTATCATCACCGTAGTATAAAATCATAAACCATGTATCTCAAAATATCATAATATTTGTCAACATATCAAAATCTCATATCAAATATCAGAGTAAATCTCCCAGGCTAGAAGAACCGTGGTGTGTGCCATGCAATCATCCCAAGCCCTTCCCTTTGCTAGCTGAAGTACCTGAAACCAAACTGAAAATTGTAAGCACGAAGCTTAGTAAGCTCCCCCAAACTACCACATACCATACACATAACATATAACATGTAACATAAACTTTGGGACACCGCCCAACTGCATCGGGACGAACCCGACATCGGCTTACCTGACATCGGACTCCTGCCCGACATCGGGCTCACCCCGACATCAAACCACGTCTGGGATCGGGCTAACCCCGGCATCGGGCTTAACCCGACACATACATAACATATCATATATCATATACACATAACATAAGCATATAACATACATCGGGCTTACCACGGCATCAGACCGAAGCCCGAAACACATAACAAATAACATATAACTAACATGCATCGGGCTTGCCCCGGAACACATAACACATAACATGCATGAATCACAAATACATCAAGCATACATATACTCTTCTCGGGACCGCCCCGACATCGAACTGTAGTCCGGAACTACTAACAACTAAACGGACCGACATTGTGGCCTTAGACCCGTTCCTACTGGAGAGAAACTCACCTCGCAAGAATGACTACTGAAAACTTGAGTGAGGAATCTCTGTCTGCTGTCCCGGCGACTCTCCGGCTATAAATCTATAATAACACTTAATCAGAAACTGATAACTCTTCATAGGGTAAAATGACCATTTTACCCCTGGTCAAGGTCAACGCTCTGGTCAAAGTCAACATTATGGGTTGACCAACTCGCCGAGTTGACCTCTCAACTCGCCGATTTCTATAGCTCAGAAATCCTGAAAACGCGATCCAACTCGCCGAGTCGTTCCACCGACTCGTCGAGTCTATCGGGCTGCTTAGTCGCGACTTGACTCTTCTACTCGTCGAGCCCTTCAACAGACTCGTCAAGTTCTACAAACTGAAATCGGGACAAAACGATATGACTCGTCGAGTCCCCTTATGGACTCGACGAGTCCTTCTGTCTGTTTGGCCATCTTAACAGATTAAGCCCCTATCTTCTATATCCAAGGTTCTTAGCTCGTTAGTCCACTGGAAAGGCCTTTCCTAAGGGTAAAGTTTCCAACTTTACCTGTTCATAGCTCTTCTAAAAGGGTTTAAACAAAACCCTAATTCCTATAAAACATGAATCTTGTCCAAAAGGCCATATAATCACAACTCCACGCATACAAACCCAGATCTAAGGTTTTAGCATATGTTGGACACATAAAGCTCCGAACTTTTCCTTCCATGCATGGTCTTTTAGGGCTAAAAAGACCATAAACTTCCTTATAAGCTTGCATAGGGCTTCCATGGTCATAAATTTTGCACCATTATGCCATGGAACCCTTTTTAGATCCTAGATCTGAGATATAAGTCAATTGGGACGTCCCAACCCCAAGAAACAAGGTTCTTGACCCAAAACTTTCATAATATGGAGATAACTAGATCTAAGAGAAGAATGATCAAGTTGGAAGTTTGATTACCAGAAAATGCAGTAAATGAAGTGTAGCTCCTGGATCTACTTCTTCCCATTTGAGCCTTTTACCTTCTTCTTCTCCCACGAGCTTCACAATGCACAAAAACACTTAAAAATGGCAAGAACTAGCTCAATATCACTTATGGCGGATTAGGGTTTCGATAATAGGGTTTGGAGGTGATGGAGGTTGGGGTGGAGGCCAGATATGATGTTTAAATAGGGTGCAAACCCTGAAAATTAGGGTTTCCTCCTGATGGACCTACTCGCCGAGCCCAGGCTCGGACTCGTCGAGTAGACCATTTAAATCCCGCGATCAAGCTGACACCTACTCGACGAGTTAGGGCTACCAACTCGTCGAGTAGCTCTTACAAAATGAATATTTTAATAAATTAAATGCGTACCAGGAACGGGGAGTTACACAATGTATGAATGTTTGGGTTGCTATGTTTTATTACTATTCGATTGTTATGATACTATACATGAAGTCACTCCATCCGCCCCCAGACGTTTCTGTCGTTCTGGTTTGGGCATGTGACATAACCAGAGCAACCTAACAGGTCATCCTATCATATCATCTGTAATCCATACTAGCATGCAGTTCTAGAGGCTCATACAATAGACATACAAAGGCATCTCTCCTAACATACAACCCTGAGCAGATCCTTAGCCCTAATCCAACATGTTATTCACATATTCACATACTAAATCAAATAAACATGTATGTGTATTTTCGGAATACTTACTTGAGCTCGACCGATTACACACATTACACCTTATTTTTAAAAATCTTTAGAAAAATATTTTTCTTTTTTACCAATTCCTCAGTTTGAGTTCAGACACTCCCGTGAGTGTGTCCGAATACCTCAAACCAATGCTCTGATACCAACTTGTAACATCCTAAAAAAAACTAAGTAATTTTTTTTTATTTTTAAGTCAACCAAAACCATCAAGCATTCATTTCAAACCATCAAAGTATGATAATCTGGAAAACGAGTTATTAGAGTAAAATCCCAAAATCATAAAATGCTAAACACTGGTGGATATGATTCGATCTTACTGGGCCCTTCCCTTTTGAACCAGAAGTACCTGAAAAACATGTAAACATAAGCTGTAAGCACAAAGCTTAGTGAGTTCCCCAAAATACCACATACCATACAAGCAACAAGCCCCGTCGAATGAGTATAACGAGCCTTGCCCTAACTCACATAACGGCCCCCGCCCAATGAGTATAATGGGCCTCTCCCTAACTCACATAATGGGCCCCTACCAATGAGTCTAACGGGGGCCTCACGTAACATACAAAACATGCACGTATCACATAGACAACTAGCATCCTACAAATATAATCCAATGGCTCGGCATTGGTGCCTTCGACCCGTAAATATTGTAAGGAGACTCACCTCAAACTGAAGATATCTGAATCGCACATGCGCTATTGCTACAAAGGCTTCTCACACTAAACACATCCAAACCAACCCTAATTACTATTTTGGATAATAACCCACAATTAAAGGTCCAAATCATATTCTCTCTGCTAAGGGTAAAATACCATTTTACCCTTCCCATACTAGACCGAACTAAACATGGTCCACGACCCAAAAATGACCCAAATGGACTTTTAGGAGTACACCATGCGTATTCCATACTTACGCCCAACGTACTGGGTGTTCACAGAAAGGGCTACGTGGCTTAACCCGTTACGTCATGCGCACCCAAAGGTTATGCCCTACGTAATCCTCTATGGTCCAAAACCAACTTTTAAGCTATTAATGCTTAAAGCTTAAACGTCTAACTCATAGATCTCAATCATGGGAAGGTCTTAATTGATAAAGTCGACAACTTTAAGCTTTTGCATGGCTTAATACAACCCAAAACCAATCCTTGTGTTCATAACTTCACAAAATGACCAACAATTCATGCATGTGTGGAATATAATCCTCAAGATCTGATTTTTATGATTTATTAACCTCAGAAATGGCTAAAAAAGATACTCAAGGGTTCTGGAGTAGCTTATACTCACAAGAACTAAAGCCACGAGACCAAAAACACACAAGGATTCACCAACCGACAAGATCTAGAAAATGAACTATCAAGGTGGGAACTTTTTACCTTTTGAAGAAGTTAGGTGAACAACGAAATATGGATATACAAGGAATGGACTCCCAAGAGCTCATCCAATGATCACCTTCTTCATAAAACACATAAAATATCACTCTAAAAGCTCAAGAATTTTACAAGGTGGCTAGAGTTTCGAAATGGTGCTTTAGGACAGTGAGGGTTGGTGACGAGGGAGGCCTCAATGACTTAAGATCTTTTAAAGATGGTCAAAACCCTAAAAAATAGGGTTTGGGATCTGCGTGAGTACGCCATGCGTACCACTTAAGTAGGCACTGCGTACTCAAAAGAACCTCGACACCTTTAATGAATTACGTTGAACGTACCCATAGGGTACACCCCATATAAAGATCGAAAATGAAAATTTTTAATAATTTAAGCTATAATTGAAAAGTACCTGGGAACACGTATGTCACACATATTGCATCTGAATATCCTGTTATGTTCATTCTTCCTTCGGTATCTTATGCTTCCAACGATGAAGCCTAATTTATTTTTTGAAAAGAGAAAACTCGCGATCTCTTATGACCAATATATGATGCCAAAGTGTTGGAACTATGATGTTGATTCGGTCATGTTGATGGGTGTCGTCGGTCTATATCGACAACTATTTAGTATGTTCCTGAATCGATTTTGATCCGCTTTGTAACAATGAACAACTTAGGATTAAATACTGGATGTGAAATCGTACTTTTTATTATGAAGGAACGAGGAATAAATACAAACAATTTAAAACATAAATTCTCAAAATAATTGTAAGGAATAATTAAAAAAATGTTAAATAGACATTAGGAGAGTTGAAATAAAAATGTGAAGATAAAATTTCCTCCCTTATTGCATTATTGATTTAGTTTTCATGTATAATGTATATTATTATGGAATTGACTTTACTTTTCATGTTTGATGTATGTTATTTTGGAAAATTTAAGGTTGATATGTTACACCAAAATGGTCCATGGCTGTTACTCTAGTACTTTTATGTACCACAAAATGATTGGGTTAAAGATTTGAGAAATCATGAAAAATAGGGACCATATTGTAATTAGTGCATAATGGTGATTGTTATGTGTAACTTTTTCCTTTTCGGGATTTATCTTATTGAAGCAAAAATTCTGTTTAGATACGGAAGGGGAGAGATTTGTACTTGTTGCTTCTTTATAATTGCATTTTATAGGTCCAGGGTTCAGGGCACACCTAAATCAACAGAGAGACGTAACATACTGAGTTATGGCTGAACAGACCACCGTCGCCGCCGCGACCGATTCGCCGTTAAAGAGACCAAGAGAAGGAGATGAGAACGGCGCCGCCGCCTTTGAAACTAATGCCCACATATCATCTGTCATTCCCGGATGGTTTTCAGAGATTAGCCCAATGTGGCCTGGTGGGTTTTCTTTCATTTCGCATTTTCTTACTGTGTTTATATGTATGAAAGTATTTGTTGTGGGGTTTCGATTTCAGATTGTTTACAGAGCTCCACTCTTCTCTAATTTGCGCAATTCCTTAATGTTTGTTTCCTTTCAGTGGTTTTCTATAGTTTGGCTTTTTCGAATCTCATGGTGATTTGGGATTAATGTGGTTATTGTTCTTGTGTATTTGTCATAGATTTACAGATTCACTCAAGTATTGTGAGGTGATTCATCTACTTCATGGGTTTATGGGTTTTTTTTATTATAGTTTAAAGTAGATTTCCTCCATTAGTGTCATCATTAGAGCTCATTTTTTATTTTATTTTAAGGGTTCATTCTATTAATATCCAAGATAGAAAATCGACTCTTGTTTTTTGGTTTGTAATAAAGTACAAAGTTTGTGTATCGATGATACTTTATTGTTATCGAAGTTCTTTTTATAACCAAAACATCTCTAATTTTTTAAATTAAAAAGTATCCCACTTGACACTCATAAGTCAAAAGGTGGATAATAATCATGAAATCCCGTATTACTTTTCTGCATTCATGCTATTGTAGGGTTTTTTTGTATGATTATTACATAAAGTTAACGCACATTCAAACACCCCTTTTTATGTCTATATTTATAAGAAAATTATGGGTTCAAATCGTCTTAATTTGATATGTTTAGACATGTTGCAAAAGTGTCATTCATTTTAAATGACTTTAATCTTTATATCACCTTAGGGCATGTTTGGTTTGTGGATTCCAGTGGGATTGGAATCTCTAATTCCATTATGTTGTGAAACCAATGGAATTAAATTCCAAGATGTCTCTTAAAAAACCATGTTTGAAGGGTTGCATCATTGATAAGAATTGAATTCCATTTTTCATTTTATTCATTAAAAGACAAAATTGTCCTCATAACCCCCTTTTAACATAATTTACATTCCAATTTCATTGATATATTCACAAATCTAACATAAAATATCAAAGAAATGTAATTGAATTCCATTTCATTTCCAGCCAACCAAACCAATCACATACTCCAATTCCTTTGGATTCCAATTCCTTTGTCAGATTCCAATTCCATTGTCAGATTCCATTCCTTCCAAAAACATCATGTGAACCAAACACACCTTTACTGTCACACTCTTTGAATGTATATTCACTTCCTTCTGTTGAAATTTGTTTCTGATAGATTTTTTTTAAGTATCCATACAAAATCTTTATAATATTCATTTTTTCCATGTAGGAGAAGCACACTCTTTAAAAGTGGAAAAGATCTTGTTTCAAGGCAAGTCTGAGTATCAAGATGTTATGGTATTTCAGGTATTATATTTTTTCATTTTACTTTCTAATCTTCAATATTAAAACCCCTTTTTCTTCCTACTTCAAATAATAAAATATATTTATTTATTCCCTTTTCTTTCAGTCAGCAACATATGGGAAAGTTCTTGTTTTAGATGGTGTAATTCAACTTACAGAAAGAGATGAATGTGCATATCAAGAAATGATAACTCATCTTCCCCTTTGTTCAATTCCAAACCCTAAAAAGGTTTCACATTTCCACTTTGTTCAACATATGATTTTACACTTGATTTTTCAATGCCTCTATTAACTACATGATTTTTTTTTTAAATTTTTTTAGGTTTTGGTTGTTGGAGGAGGTGATGGTGGGGTGTTGCGTGAAGTAGCTCGACATACTTCTATTGAACATATAGATATATGTGAGATTGATAAAATGGTTGTTGATGTGAGTAATCATATAAATTATAAATTCATAATTTCTTGAATCTTCTTTAATCTTTACACATCATTACACATTTAGTTGTTCATTCTCTTTGACTTAATGAGGACAAGACTTAAGGGATGTTTCATTTTTATACTCATCAAGTCATGTATGAAGTGGCTGAATGAGTAAAATGAGTAATGATGTCTGTCTGGCTTAATAATCTAAATGACCATTTTATCCTTACATTTAAAAAAACAAAGTTTTCACAATACTCATCAATTTGCCCTCATCTGTTTTTTTTCTTTTTCCTATGAAATTATGCTTTGAAAAATGTGTCCAATTGTCCACACAAACACTTCATGAAAAAATAAAAAGAGTTTTGTCTCCTTACAAGATATAAAAAAAAGGACTAATGTGATTTTTTTTTTGTGTCCCTTTTTTTTTTTCAGGTTTCTAAAGATTTCTTTCCTGATGTTGCTGTTGGATACGATGATCCTCGTGTCAACCTCCACATAGGCGATGGTAAAATGTTGTAAAAACAAGAAATGAAATTATAAATTATAATTCTTTAATAAACAAATCAATAGTTTTGTTTATTATTTTTTGAGTAAATCACACGAATGGTCCCTATGGTTTGGGGTAATTTGCACGTTTGGTCCCTAACTTATTTTTTTAACTCGAAAGGTCCCTACAGTTTGTTTTTGTTACGTGCTTCGTCCCTATCTTACCTAAAAAGACTATTTTGCCCTTGATATTTTAAAGTAAGGTGGAAGTGGGGTTGGGAGTGTGATTATTTAAATAAATTAAAAAAATCAAGGGCAAAATAGTCTTTTTAGGTAAGACAGGGACCAAACGCGCAACAAAAACAAACAGTACGGACCTTCCGAGTTAAAAAAAATAAGTTGGGGACCAAACATGCAAATGACCACAAACCATAGGGACCATTCGTGTAATTTACTCTTTACTTTTTTGCAATCTTGTAGGAGTTGCATTCTTGAAAGCTGCTCCTGAAGGAAGTTATGATGCTGTTATAGTTGATTCTTCAGATCCAATAGGTACTTTAAACACTTTCACACTTTAACAACCCCCCTACCCCCTACCCCCCTACCCCACCATTTGATGTTGTTATGATTCAGGTCCAGCTCAAGAGCTTTTTGAGAAACCTTTTTTTGAAAGTGTTGCAAAAGCGTTGCGTCCTGGTGGTGTTGTTTGTACACAAGCTGAAAGCATATGGCTTCATATGCATATTATTGAAGATATTGTTGCAAATTGTCGCCAGGTGTTTAAAGGGTCTGTTAATTATGCATGGACAACGGTTCCTACATATCCAAGGTTAATTAATTTCTTTGAAAATTTTTTATTTTGATTTTTTTTTTTTACCAAAAAATGAGTCGATTTGGGTTATATTTTGTTATCGAATGAATTAAATGGATTAGAAAAAGGTCCCGAAAGTGTAATTTGGTTGCATGATTGGTTCTTGTATCCTTTAGCAACGGTTCAACAGTCTATATGCTAAATGACCATTTTGCCCTTGTTTTCTTCATCTCTTTCATCCTTGTCATGTGAAAAGCTTAAAAATATTCCACATTGAAGAAGATGGAGAATATTTTTTCGGTTTTGATTTTTGAAAGAAGAGGATGGAGATGAGGGCAAAATAGTCATTTACCATAATATTTAAACAGTCCAGGGACCAAACATCTGGAATCAAACTATGCAACTAGAAAGTTTGTAATTTTAGTCTTAAAAGTTTTGGCAAAGAGGGAAATGGGTCAAACTGGTCAAACATTGTGTGATCCTCAGTCTATATGCTAAATGACTATTTTGCCCTTGTTTTCGTCATCTCTTTCATCCTCATGAAATGAAAACTTTAAACATATTCCGCATTGAAGAAGATGGAGAATATTTTTTGGTTTTGAATGAAGAGGATGGAGATGAGGGCAAAATAGTCATTTACTATTTAAACAGTCCAGGGACCAAACATCTGGAATCAAACTATGCAACTAGAAAGTTTGTAATTTAGTCTTAAAAGTTTTGGCAAAAAGGGAAATGGGTCAAACTGGTCAAACACTGTGTAATCCTCACCATTAATCATCTACAAAATCTTGTTGTAACCATAAAAAATTGTGCAAAATTTGTGACATTGGTCATAATAAGGATTCTAAATTTCTAACAATTGTTAATTTTGCACATGATCTATGAATGAATGCAGTGGTGTTATTGGATTCATGTTATGTTCTACTGAAGGACCTGAGGTTGACTTCAAGAACCCGGTCAACCCAATAGATGCAATCGATAAACAATCTAAATCTGTGGGACCCTTGAAGTTCTACAACAAAGAGGTTTCGTTTTTTTATCATCATATCTTTTTTTTGTTTCTCATGTAAATCTTTCATTTTTTGTGATCATATATTATAAAGTTTTCATTTTTCTTGATCTTTTATCATAAAGTTTTCATTTTTTTGATCTTTTATCTTAAAGTTTTTCATTTTTTTGATCATTTAACGTAAAACTTTTATGTTTCTTTATCATTGTTTTGTAAAGAACTCATTTTTCTTGATCATTTATTGGTAAAATTTTCAGATTCCTTAATCCCTTATCATAAGATTTTAATATTTACATCATTTATCGTAAAGTTCTCATTTTTCTCAATCATTTATCACAAAAGCTTTCATTTTTTTGATCATTTTGTTGTAAATCTTCCGTTTTTTTTGATCATTTATCGTAAACCTTAATTTTTCTTGAAATTACATCATAAAGGTATAATTTTTCTTGATCATTTAATGCAAACTTTTATTTTTCTTGATCATATATTGTAAACTTTTCATTTTTCTTGATCATATATTGTAAAGTCTTAATCTTGATCATTTATGGATACTCTTTCATTTTCCTTGAACTTACATTGTAAAGTTTTAATTTTTCTTTGATCATTTAATGAAAACTTTTACTTTTCTTGATCATATTTGTAAACTTTTCATCTTTCTTGATCATTTATCATAATGTTTTCATCTTTCTTGATCATTAATCTTTGATATGAACATGCAGATCCACTCAGCAGCTTTCTGTTTGCCTTCTTTTGCAAAGAAAGTGATCGAAGCCAAAGCAGCAAAGTGACAAATAGGGAGAGAAGGTTAAAATAGTCATTTTAGAGTGTCCCGGATTTTAAATGTCAGTTGAGATTATTTCATCTGATTTCTTCGAGTGTCTTTGAAATATTGTTAAGGAATAAATTCGGGGTTCTGTTTTGGTGAGTGTTAGTGTTTGTGACAATTTTAGCAAAGTCTTAATTTTAGCTGTATTTGATCAACTTAAAAGCGGTTTTACTTATCTTTCTGCAATTGGAACTGAAACTCAACAATGTAGCTCTTGAAACTTGTTATTGCAAATATATCAACATGGAACTAATGGGACATACATAGATTGATAAATTTAAGTTTTTTATTTTTTTTTTATTTTTTGAAAAGTTTAGTATTTGAAAGCCTTAACAAATAAGACCGGAGAGTGCGTGCGGGAAGCTTCCTGCATTTTTTGTCTGCTACGTCATCATTTCTTCTATTTTTCTTTTCCTCATCAAAAGTCAGCGTGCGTATGAAGTTTCCTTTACTCTTTTATTTTTTTATTTTTTTTAAATAAAAATAATTGATTTTTATGATTTATAGTGTTTTTTTAAATAAGTAATAAATATAAAGTTAATTAAAAATGAAAACCATTTCATTAATTAAAATAAAACTTACATAAAGTGTGTGGGTTTGAAGGTTAAAATGTTGTAGAGGTTTAAAAAAAAACTCAATTTCCTATAACTAGCCATTTAGTAAAAAAATTAATTTTCTATATAGTGTTGTTTTTTAATGGTTAGAATGAAAAAAAAACAAAACAAAAAATTGCTGGCCAATAAGAGGAAGAGGAAGAGAGGGACTGCAACAACTCCTCCCCAATCTCCTCCCGACACCACTGTTCCCGTAGTCCTGGTGTGGTGTTCTGATGAGCGGGAAAGGGTACTGCACGACTTCCCTCAAGCACTCAGTGCGGTCTAATAAATATTACATCTAAAAAGAAAGTATTTAAATTTTGATAAGATTCAAAACCTAAAGGTTAAATCTAATATATATGACCAAGTAATATCAATTTAATGTATATCATATCTAAAATATAACTATAAAACTAATTTAATTATAAATATATAAACTTAAACTTGAAAGGCCAAATTCTATATATGAAAAGTAGTAGGTGTGACACCCGTGTATTACACGGGTCTATTAAAAATAAAAGTTGGTGTACTACATGAATTTATTAAAAATAATAGACTTTTCAGATTAAATTCAGAATTAGATTGAAAATGTGCATGTTGACGATTAGATAAAAATTGGAAAAAGATTCAAATGAATGATGATCATGACATCCATTAGGTATGTAATAATAACAATAGTTAACACAAATATGCGTTGGTTATATTGCAAAAGGTCTACATAGAAATAATTAATTAATAAACTAACATCAATTTGTAACATAAAAAATATAAAAGAAAAATCAAATAAACTACACTATAGAAAAAGAAATACCGTTTGACATGGTGCACAATATATTTAGATCTTTTTTTATCCAAATATATATATATTATTCTATGTAACATCCCAAATTCAGAAGGTCAAGAAAGGAAAAGAAAAACCCCAAGTCAAGAGGTCTACTCGTCGAGTCCAGGGAGGAACTCGACGAGTAGGAGTGTCTTTTGGGTCGCGGGTTTAGTGACCTACTAGACGAGTCGGTAGACCGACTCGGCGAGTTGGTCTGGGTTTGGGAAACCCTAAATTCGGACTTGGTGCCCTATTTAAACATCTCATTCTTATTCCATCAGCCTCATTTGTAGCCTCCATTGTCCAGAGCTTAACCCACGAAACCTAGAGCCTTTTCAAAGTGTGAGAGCCATTGTTGAGTGTCTTATGTGTTCTTGGAAGTTAGGAAAGAGCTTGAGGGTTCAAAAAGAAGTTTGTAGATCCAGCATCATCATCCCATTTCCATCCTTTTCTGGTAATAAAGTCTTCACATTGGTTTATAGTTTCTTAGATCTCTTTATGTCCATTTTATGAGAGTGTTGGTCCATAGAGCTTGATCTATGGGACAAGGACGTCCAAGCAAAGATCTTTTCAGATCTGGAGTCCCTGAGAATGGTTAAGGCATAAAGGTGCAAGCTTTATGCCATTAGAAACCCTCATGCAAGCTTTAAGGGGTTATTATGGCCTTTTAAGCCTCAAAAGGCCATGCATGGAAGAAAAGGCAGGGACTTTACGTGTTATACCGATCTTAGGAGCCCAGATCTACCTTTGGGAGAAGCTGTTTGGCTTAGAAATCGTCTGAATAGAATGGGACATAGAGGGACTCGGCGAGTCACTTATGGGACTCGGCGAGTCAGTCTGCTTTCTTGCCCTAAAACCCTTCTGTTAAAGGGTATGAGTTGAGTTGGTATGGGACTCAGTCAGTCTGGGTCCATAGCGGGCATGAAGATCATCGTACTCGGCGAGTTCAATGAGGAACTCGGCGAGTCTAAGGCAATCTTCTTAGTTTATGAAGATGGACTCGACGAGTTGTTCATACAACTCGGCGAGTCATAGTCTGGACATTCATAAGAGGGAGATGAACTCGACGAGTTCAAGGATGAACTCGGCGAGTCAGTTGAAGACGGTCCCGATTGTAAGACTGAATGAGAACCCGTCGAGTGCTTGCTAGACTCGACGGGTAGGATCGGTGGTTGTATTGAGTTGGAGAAGCATGGACTCGACGAGTTGGTAGAGCAACTCGGCGAGTCATAGTCAACTGGAGGTTGACTTTAACCAAGTTTGACCTGGATTGACTTTTGGAATATTGTGGTCTAAGTGTTACTTTGGGGTATTGATAGTTCGGGAGTTGAAGGATCAGCAGTCCGGGGGATTGCCAGCTAGCAGCCAGAAGAGTATCAGCAGGTCTTCAGTAGTGCGAGGCGAGTTTCCCTTTGTGTGAATGGGTCTACGACCACAATGCCGGCCCATGTAGTTATGAGTGGGAAGACCTGGGGGTTAGCCCTAGGCATGGTATGCTAGTATGTTATTCCGGATCTCGGTCCGATGCCGGGTGGTACCCGAGGCAGTAGTGTATGTGTAGTTATACTTGTTGTCTTTGTGATACTTGTATGTGCCTGGTAGGGAGGTGAGTCGGGCGAGGTCCTGTATCTCATCACTAGCCGAGTATGGACGGGGTTCCGTATCTCATTAGTAGCAGAGCAGGGGCGAGGCCCGAGTTAGTAGAAAGGTGAGTGTGGGCGCGGGCCCGTATCTCCCTACCAGCAGGAGCGTGGACGGGGTTCCATGATTCATCAGTAGCAGGACAGGGGCGAGGCCCAAGTTAGGCGAGGCCTTAAAAATCAGTAGTACAGTAGAGCATGTTTAGCTTTATGATATGTGTTATGTTGCATGCTTGTATATGTTATTAGCGGGCGAGGCCTAGAGACAGGCGGGGCCTAAGAGAACAGATCTGTATACCGAGCGGGGCTCGATGCCGGGCGGGGCCCGAGGCAGTGTGCGGGGCCCAAGTTATGCCGGACTCCGGTCTGATGCCGGGCGGGGCCCGATGCAGTGGGCAAGGCCCAGTATGTGGATATGTGTATGGTATGTGGTAGGTTGGGGAACTCACTAAGCTTCATGCTTACGGTTTCCAGTTTTGGTTTCAGGTACTTCCGGTAGCAGAGGGAAGAGCTCGGGATGATCGCATTGCACACACCAAGAAGTTTTAGCGTGGGATGTTTACTTTGATAAAATGAACTAGTGTTTTGAAATGATACTCTGATTTAAGATAATGACTTATGATTTTGGATGAATGATTTTATGATTATGGTTTAATTAATAGTTTAGAAATGAAATTTTTGGACCGTATTTTTGGGATGTTACAAGTTGGTATCAGAGCGTTGGTTTGAGGGATTCGGATACACTCGCGGGTATGTCTGGACTCAAACTGAGGAATTGGTATGAAAATTTTCAAAAGGAAAATTACTTTTAGAAAAAGAGTTTTGATAAAAAGGAAAGAAAAGAGTTTTAGAAAAAGCAAAAAGGAATTTTAGAAAGAAAAAAAACTTTGAAAAGAGAAAAGGGTGTGGTGCATGCAATCAGCCGAGCTCAAGTAAGTTCTCCCAAATTACCCATACAAGTTTCTGTTATGATATGAGTATTAGAAGTGCATGCTATTTTAGGACTAAGGATCTAGGAGGATGCCTTATGTGCCTGTTATATGTGTATGAGCTTTATGAGTTGCATGCTAGTACAGATTCCTGAGTAGAGGATAGAACAGTTTGATTGGATGATGTGGTTAGATTTTCCTTTTTTGTCTGAATGCTACTTGCTTTGTGCTTTGTGGGACTCTAAGTGATGAGAGTTAGCCATTAGGTGAATACGTCAAGTCACATGTGATCAGGGTTGAATAATCTCAGAGTGCTGGATTTGGCCCTATTACGCAACTCTTGTTTGAGTCTAACCGTTGTAGGGACGAGTCCTTTACTCGAAGGATTATCTGAGCCTCGTCACATGTGATGGTATTCAGGTAGTGGCTGATTGGCATTATGAAGATACCTTCAGTAGTTGAGGACTGGTTTCGGGATAGAGGATACCCTAGGGCAAGCCTAGGATGAGGGTAGTGCTGGGAGCAATGTTAGGAGCAGTGAAAGGGACTTGGCGTAGTCGAGGAAATTCTTGAGGAAAGTACGGATAGATGTGGAACGTAGTAGGGGGCCATACTACTGGAAGTAGAGGATCTGTAATCGATTCAAGAAGGGTTGAGATGAAACTGGGGAACTTGTAGTGTGTGTGTGATCCCTCAGTAGAGATGTGTATTCTAATGGTAGTAATGATATGTTGTAGAATGGTGACACTACGGGGTAGACCAGTTGGCGGATCAGGCGCCGGAGAGGTTTCAGGCTCGGGTTCAGGAACCGAGCAGCTCAAGGAGCGGATGAGGGAGTTTGTATCAGCTGAGGTTACGCGCAGTATTCTAGATCAGACTCCTGTGATCTTTGGCACGGTCAAGGAGGGCATACTGGAGATATTGAGAGGCTTGGAGCCTTCCGCACGGAGATGGTGGCCATGATGGGAGCGCGTACTTGGACATTTCGAGAGTTTAGAGCTTGTGGCACACCAGATTACCATGGGGCTCGGGACCCCATCGCTAGCAGTAGGTGGTTGGCCGATGTTGCTAACGCTTTCCGTACGAGCTGATGTCCCGAGGGGGATAAGGTCCGACTTGCCTCCTGTCTTCTGAAGGACAGAGCACGGGATTGGTGGGAGGAGGTTGGACATGCCATGGGAGATGATGCCGCGTTGGACGCGATGACATGGAGTGAT